TAATAACTGTCTGGTTATTAATGCTGTTTACTTTGTTTACTTGATTATTTTTTTATAGGTGAATGAATTAGTATTTATCTGACAAGTTGAGATCACTTTTGATCATTTACAGCTATTCGGAGCTTCTTTCATTGTCTAGAGTTTCATGCTTTTTACAATTTCCCGTGTTTAAATGTTATAACAGCTCTCTGCAGTTCCCAAAGTGTATGTATGTTCATCCGTTATTTGTACACTTTCTTTTTTCGAAATGCATTGTCGTTCATCGTGAATGTATCCTGGTTCCAAACATCGATCACAAGTTACATCATACATTCCAAAACGCCCACCAGTCGATGGTGATGCCAAATGCTCAACTTCGTAGTGTTGTATTCATATTACTTTCGAAAGAGCAATCATACGAACTTCGGTCCTCTTGGCTGCGGTTCAAATGCGGTAATTGAAATAGCGCATTACATTGGCTACCAAACTATCGTCATATGCTCAAATTGTTGCTAACATTTCGAAAGTTCTTGCCACAGTGCTTAAGAGACAAGCTCCTGCTTATTTTAGCTTAATTTCGTCCGTAAAAGTTCGTTTTTTTTGAAGCAACGAATTTGTTTTTATTGGCACCAGATAGATTTGGGAGTTATGTTTACAGGTCCATAATTCATCTTCCGCTCATTTACAAAAGTTTGCTTACACGGTGTTCTTTAGATGTACCAGCTACAGATGCGGCTTCTCTCAAAAACATCTTTCTAGCACTGCCTTTGTGACGGAAAATACGTATAAAAAAGTCTAGAAAATATCTGAAACCGCAATGAGTAAAAAATGGAAGTTGTTTTTCTTTTCTTTTTTTCGGATTTAAATGGCAAGCAGCTTCTAGATTTTGGGCACAAAAGCTACGATTTTAAAAATGTATAAAGTCAAGTTTATAAAAAGATGAATAAGTTTTTGATACTAGAGAAATGACTAGTTACGAACAGATCAATCAGCTTTTGTTGAAAAACTATGGAGAGCAAGTTTTTGAGAAGTTTGGAACTATTTTCGGGCAGTTTGCCACAAACAGCGTGAACTTATGACTTCACCGACCATGATACATTGCTTCTGGTGAAATCAGATCGCAAAATTGCTAAGGTACATTTCACTACAGTCAGTTTTTGGACTTGGTTAAAACGTTTTAATTTTAAGAAGTTCTTGATCTACCATTCAGAAATAACCTGAATTCAATTGGTTTTGAATGGGGAATGAACTGCTATTGCTCTTACAATATCCATATTAGAACATAAAGGCTCAAAAGCTATCCGATTGCAGTTTCTAATTCAGTTATGTCGCTCTTTGTTTTTGCATTATTGAATGTTTCAGTTGACTTTTGAAAGAGATATTCGAAGTGTCCAGTAGCGGAACTGTAATGCAATAGAGGAAGATAAGTTTGAAATCACTGTATGGTTATAATGAAAGGCGGTTTTATTTGAATGAAAATATGTGGTAATGTTTGGTATGCATTCAGAGTGAACCAAGTCAAATATGCTCATTGACGGTGTTTAAAAATCTTGTAGAACAATTAAAATTTTTTTTAATGACGGTTGAGTATACAACGTAATCAGGTGCAATTTTATTATTTTTTCACTCGTCTTCAAGGGTAAGATGCCTGCGATTACTGGTCTTCATTGTCTCATCTGTGCCAGGAATGTCCAGCTACCGATTCGGAGCGGCCAATTTCGTAAATTAGCAGCTATTTGGCTACTCGCTTGTTCTTTTTTATTTGATGGTACTTTTCAATTTTTCAAGGTCTGCTTGCATCAGAAAGAGATAAAAACTGGTTATCCTTGCAGTGATCATTTTCCTGCATTGAGATTTAGCGAAAACTGCTGAAAGTCACAGTTTGACCTTTCACGAAGATAGAAGTTTTGGAACTTGATATCTTAGATTGTGAAATGGGTTTCCAAGGTCTGTCAACTTTAGGAATATATTGTCACTTTTTTTGCTTGAGTTTTCTTTAAAAAAAGATGCACAAACATTTAGTAGCGTTAAAAATAGTAATTTTTTCCCAAAAAATTTGAAAAAAAAACGTTTAAGAGTTCAGAAAAATTTATACATTGGAAATTTTCAGGAACAGCACCAAAGAAGAACAGCTGAAGATGGTATATGAGGAAAATTTTCAAAACACTACTCAGACAAGCAAATATTTGTTTGCTTCTAAAGAATTATTAAATATTATCTGCAAAGCTAGAATCAACATCAATTGTTGTGTTATTACATTGCCTTAGAGCAGTTCTTTTTTTCCTCTCTAAGAAACCATTGATGATAAGCAACAACTGCGTAGATGCAGTAATGTTAAACTTTTTTTGAAATATTTCAGTTACTTTCTAGACCGTTAAGAATTTGAAGAAAATACATGTATTCTTAAAATTTTTCAATTTCATTAAAACCAAACTTGGAGCAAAGATAAGACGGAAGGAATTTGAAAACCATAAGTATAGATTAATAACACAGAAGAAATAGACTTTTATTTGGCTGTGAATAATGTGAACAGCAGTTTTAAAAAGCCAGGTCAAACGATGAGAAGAAGACCGAATCGTTAGAATGTTTTTGCGCTGACCAGTAGCAGTAAAAAAATGTTTTAGAATGTCATTCTTATCACCTGCTGTCTTAGCGTATTGTTGATGCTTGTTCATTAAAAAAAACTTGATAGAACACTCTCGTTATAGCACAGTTTAATTCAACTGTTTAAAAGTGATGCACTGCACTTAAAATGGATTTGTTATGTTTAAAGTAATGCCTTTCCAGAAAGTTAAGTGCTCTTAGACCATTATTTCGCTTGAAAATTTATTTTCGGAATTAACTTTGAAAGAAACCGTATTTTTTTTTTTTGCGAAATTTCTATATTCATTTTTGTACAGAAAACTTTTTACTTTAAAAGCTGCAGGTGCCACGA